AGGTTGGTTTCGAGTTTGACACAAACCCAGGGTTTTACACAAACCAGAACCGAAAACCATTTTTAATAGCCTTAATTGCGAGGATATTTATATGGTGGAGATTGGAATGAGTAGGAGAGGAGAGTGGGCTATGAAAGATGATGAGGAGGCTAGAAATGATGAGATGGAGGCATAGGGAAAGGTTTGTTCGTGAAATGTGACATGTCTAGAGATATGAATTTGCTTGATTTTATGATCATAACATCGATATCCTTTACCTTTGTGAGAAGGTGAGTATCCAAGAAAGATATATGCCTGGGCTCGGGGAGAGAGTTTATGGTGAGCTAGGTGTTTGAGATGTGGGAAGCATAGACAATCAAATGTTCGTATATAAGTATAAGTACGGGAATGTCCATAAAGTAGTTGGAATGGTGCTTGGAGGTTACGAGCCATAGTGGGAAGACGATTGATGAGATAATTGGAATTGAGAATAGCTTCAACCCTGAAGATGAAGGGTAGATGGGAAGCATGGAGGAGAGTGCGAGTTGTCTCGAGCAGATGACAATTTTTGCGTTTAGCGAGGCCATTTTTTCTAGTGTGTAGTGACAACTGAACTGATGTGTTATTCCATGGTATGACAGAAGTTGCTGAAAGTTGGAGATGTTGAAGTCTCCTCCGTCAGAACTGAGAGTTTTTATTTTAGAATTGAATTGATTTTCAACTAGGGTGAGGAACTGTTGGAATTTAGAAAGCGTTTCGTCTTTGCTATGCATAAAAAATAGCCAACAAAAGCGAGAATGATCATTGATGAATGCAACAAAATAACAATAACCATTGAAAGACAAAATAGGGGCCGGACCCCAAACATATGAAAGCATTAAAGATAGGAGTGAACTAACATGACTAGAACTATGTGAGAAAGATAATTTGTGACTCTTTTCCACATTACGATGAACATAAAATAGAATAAGAAGAAATGCATAAAGAAGGATGACTTTTTGCTATGGTGTTCATGACGTGGGAGTTGGGATGGCCTAGGTGTCCATGCCATAATGAGCTTGGAGAGATATTGTCGTGAAACATTGTGACGAAGGTTGAGGAGCCATTACGGCTGCGACGATGAAGGAGAGTTTGATTGTCCAAGAGATCCTTGATGCTGAAGCCCGACGAATCAAAACAAAATGGAGCAATTGTTGTTAGATGTAAGCTTGTGTATAGAAAGAAGATTATGATATAGAAAAGGAACATGAAGAAGATTATAAAAAAATATAGCTTATGATTGGAATCAGGTAGAGGGAGAATTCCTTAGCCTTTGTTGTGGATGGGTAGTGAACTTCCATTTGCAATGGAGATGTTGTCGGAATCTTGATAAAGGATGTAGTGCTGAAGGTTGGTGGTGGCGTCCATCAGGTGAGTGGAGGCTCTAAGTCAAGAACCCATTCAGTGGATGGATTGGATTGCTGCTGGAAGAAAAGCACACGAGGTGACCAACTGGGTTGTGGTGCATATTACAAATTACACCTATGCCAGCAAGAGAGAGCCAAGTGACCAAATTTGTTGCAAATATGGCAGGTAGGACACATGGCAGGGGAAGTTGGTTGTCCATAACCGACAATGAACGACTGCTTGGGTGACTATCCTCTACATCTAGAGGGGTGAGGCTGACTGGAGGAGAAGTAAAGACCTCGATTGATTGGATGAGTTGGTCAAGATGATTATAGTGTCACATTGTCTTTTAGAGGATTTGATTATTTGAAGAGTTCATTTTGTAAATTTATCTCCTCACTATAGAGGAGGGAATATAGTACATCCAAGCTGATGGGATGAAGAGAGGTGTGGATGGATGTTTTGAAGGAGTTGTATGTTGTTGGAAAACCATTGAGAATATATAAAATTATATCCTCAGAGTCTATGTGGGAGTGCAGCAATACAGTATGCAAACGCCTTTATTTTGTGAGATATTGAATCATGGTGTTGTCTCCCATTTGGATGTGGTGTAATTCATTCTTCAGTTGAATTACACGAGACCGATTAGTCAATAAAAATGTGTTCCAAAGTACTCCAGATCTCATGAGTTGTTGTGAGATTGAGGATGTATGGAAGGATAGAGAGTGATATGGTGGAGAAGAGGGCTGAGCCCAAGTTTTGGTCTATAAGATACCACAGATTATAAATGGTGATGGCTGAGGTGGGTGAGATGATGGACAGAGCAGGCTTGGGTGGGCAACAAGTTTGACAATCAGGTAGCCATCAAATTCATTGGCCAAGAGGAGCTTGTAGAATTGGAGATGCCATATGGACTAATTATCATTTGTAAGCTGAATGTTGACGATGAGTTTGATGTTGGACATAAGAAATTTAAGTGGAGCAGGTATAATGTATTATGCCATTGAAGCAGAGAGCGAAGTGGCAGATTGAGCACTAGATGAATCTTGATCGGCCTTTTCTTTGCAAGAAGGCAGTGAAGCTGATGTGATACAAACAGGAATTGCAAGGAAATAATAAAATTATTGTAAAACTTGCTACTTTAAGATTGATGAGCCACAAACATTAATTTTAAGAACTCTCATTTGACGTTTTTCTTTTGCATGCAGTCGCAATGTTAGGAGAACAGAACAACTTAAAATAATATCAGAAAATTTTACAATAAAACTAAATGTCTCGTAATAAGAATCAACAGGTTAATATTTAAAGCTTTTCACCTAGAGTTTTTTTCTCACTCACACTCTATAAGAGGCTTTAGCGTAGAGAGACTTTCAGCAACCCAAACAATGCCATCAAAAGAGTTAGGACGCCGATGGTATTAATCCATGGGAAGGTAGCCAGAGAAGGAGGGGCAGTTGGACGTCCGACGAGTTGCCACTGTCCAGATGGTCATTGTTTTTCGATCGTCTCGGCTAGATGAAATAGTATACGATCGATGTAATCTTATAAGGAGTCATCAAACTCCAAATCAGGATTGAAGAATTGTTACTGAAGGATATATGTTTGTCCTCGAGAATCGTACGTGAATCCGTGGTTGACTTCAAGATCGGCCATCCATGAATATGAGAGACTTCTTTATTGGGATCCCGGGAGGGGCTGGCGGCTTGTGAAGGGAGAAGGGAGGGGGAGGAGTCGGCGGTTGGAGGTCTCGAGTAGAGAGGGAAAGGTAGGGGAACGACTAGGGTTTAGGGCTAGGGAGGTGGGGTGAAGAACTTAGAAAATCTGAATATTATTTCAGAATTTTCAAAGAGAGGGAAAGGGAATAATTTAAATTCCAAATTATCCCAAATTGGGCTATATGGGTTGGTGGATTAGGAGGGAATTATGGAGGGAGTTTAATTAGGATTCAGGATTATTTAGAGAGAGAAAAGCCAAGGGGAGGGGCTGACATATGAGGAGGGGAGGAAGTGTCTGGATTCAATGTATGTGGGCCCTTTAATTTAAATGATGATTGAAATCAAATCTTTAATTTAATTTCAGATTTTGAGGCATTTATGGACTTTTGTAAAATAGTTTTATCAATAAGGAAAGTGCTTTAAATTCAAATATTAATTTGAATTCAAATATGAAACTTTCTTAATTAATAATAGGTTATTTTAGGAAGGGAATTAAAGGGAACATTGAAGTGGAAATCAAGCATGTGGGCACTAGGGGCCAGCGGCTTGGAGACCTTGGGAGGCCGGCGTCTTGGGGCCTTGGGAGGCCGGCGGCGTGGGGTGGTGGGGTGGCGGAAAGGGGAGGGATTCTCAATTAGAGGAGGGAAGGGGGAATGTGGTGGTGCCGTCGTGTGGGAAAGGTTTGAAGGGAAGCCGGCGGGTGCAGGGAGGATGGGGAGGTGGCCGGATGTAAGGGAGGGGGAAAAAGAAAAGATAAGCCGCGAGTCTCGGACTCTTCCAAAGACTGACGAGTATTGCAATCACCCTCACCTAGGGTTCTATTTCTTCTCTCAAAGCTCTCAACAATGAAGAAGACAAAAGATCAAAGTTTTCATTCATCAAAATCATCCTCCCAAATACAATAGAAGGTGTCTTATATATAGACCTCAATATGACAAAAGAAAAAGGACTAGAATGCCCATCGGGCTACAATAGCAAACTAACAACCCATACGGGTAAAATAGAAAAAAAAACTGAAATATAAAATAAACAATACATAAAATACATAAAAAATAAAGGCTCCTAATCATAGCTGTCGATCTCCGATGTCTCCTCTGATAAACGCACCAGAATCTCTTGTTGATATCCTCATCAGAAGCTTACATCTCTGATACCATATTGAAAGGCAGAGTAGAGCAAAGAGAAACAGAGAAAGAAGAAAGTAATGCAGAAATGAAACAGTGATTTTGTTTCAATTCATCATCTGTTATGATGCCTAAAGTTGTGTATATATAGTGAGGCGGAGTACAAGTTGTTAAGTGACATGTGCTGCTGATTGTGGCTGCACTAGGCAACCATGCACATTGTGATAACCACCTGGGTGTGCACACGGTAGTAACTGTGCACATGCTGATTTATGATAACACTATTATCATAGAGTTCTTTAAATTGTTGAAGCCTTCAAATGACAGTATGAGGTGATAATGGGTGAACTAGATCATTTGCTTTCTTTTGCCAGTCAGGACTCATCCTAAAGATCGCATTACAGTTTAAGGTGATAAGTGCATCTTGATTCCTTAGATTTTTGCTTCTTCCCTGTTTTTCTTTTTCTTTGTTTAAAATTTTCCTGACAAATAATTTGTTTAATTTTTTCAATGTCCATGGTTCCTTGGTCATTAAAACCTTCGGCTAAAACCAACGTTTTTTTGCTCTAGCTAAATCAAATGATTAAGTTTAACTATGTGGGATGATATTCAGATCATTCTTTATGCATTTTCAGCCCTCAGAAAAACAAGCACCATCTTTCTGTGGCCGTTTGTATTCTCTTGATTTACTGAAGTTTTTCTTAAAATTTACTTCTACTGTCCAAGAATCTGCTAGTAATTGTATTTCATTTATATTATTTTCTTCTTGATACTGATTGTAAAAATGTATGTTTAGATCATAAATGTCTACAATCAACGATATGAGAGCGCAGCAGCATTCTGGCCAAATGTTCATGGCCGTGTAATTGTTGCAATGGTCGCATCACAAATAGTTCTTCTTGGATTGTTAAGTACAAAAAAAGCTGCTAATTCAACACCTTTCCTTATTGCTCTTCCTGTATTGACGATATGGTTTCATAGCTTTTGCAAGAACCGCTATGAATCTGCTTTCAGAAAATTCCCATTACAGGTAATTCTAAGTTATCTTTATTTTCAATTGGCTTCATGATCTCTTTCTTTTCTTTTTCTTAGTTCTTCAGTAACTTAAATAAATTCAAACTTCAAAATTATTAGATTTATTTTATAATCAGTACTATATACGAAAAACTAATAGAAATTTATACAGCACATATCTGAAAGTAAATTCAAAAACCTTAAGACCCATCTTAACTACTAGATGGTCTGATATTCTGACCCAAAGTTTTCTAAAAACAAAATTACTCTCAATGAATTCTTCCGCATTCTTTCAAGAGTTTACTATTTGCCAAGTCTTCAAATTTTCCCACAGTGAAAATATCTCTTAGTCCTTCAAATTTATTTCTTCAGTAGAACTTTTCTCCTACTCCACAAATGGACAAGTTCAGATACAATAAATACTCACTTCTTCTTTTTGCACAATCAAATGCAAATGAATGTTATATATTATAAGTTGAAAGCAGTAAAATTCTGTCAAGCAAAACCTTCATCGATAATAGCAGAAGTAAATGTTTGACTAGTCAAGCTTTTTATCAGTAGATCAGAAAAAACATGGTATGAAATCAAATGATTTCAATTTAGAGATTATTAACAGATCTGCTAAATAATTATAACTTGGTATTGCTGCTCCACTACTCTACCTACCGTATAACCAACCTTAATCTTGAACCTTGCTTTATTGCTCTTCATCAGGAACCGGAGGATTTTCATAGTATAATATATAGACTGTAATACAAAGGTTTAGATACACAACTTTCCATTACACTGTTGCATTCGTCTTCTTCTCTTGTGTTCTTTCCTGTTGCCTTTCTATGCTTAAGTGCAGGACAGATCACAACATGGTATCAGAGCATGCCAACTTCTAATCCTTCCTTTTACTTGTTCTAATTGCTGGCAACGATTCTTCATCCACAGCATCCACCTTGCCGTCACAAACCACTGCAGAAGTACCAATTACTGCAGAACTAAAATTCCTAATGGCAAACGTCAAAACCATCCTCAATGTATAGTTGAATGCAAACAATCATCCAATCTGGCGATCATAGATCTTCAAACTTTTTTGCAGTTAATGGCTTCTCTTGTTATTTGGACGGTTCCACGCCAAAACCTCAAAGACAAATCCTGCTATCGAATAACTCACTTATAACCAACAATGCTTACAATACCTGGATGCTTATTGAACAAAACCATACCTCTGCCCCCTTTTTTCCATAATTTCTCCATCTCTTCTACCTTATGTGCTCAACCTTGAAACCTGCAAAGACATTTGGTTTACCCTAGACCGACGCCTATAGTCCACAAACATATCCCATATACTTCAGCTAAAAAATGAGTTGCATCAGTTGCAAATAAGAGACAAAATCAAGATGCATTACCTCTCAGAAATTAAACAAATGATATATGCCATTCAAGATGTTGGTTCCACAATAGAACCAGAGGATATAAATCCTTTATACCTTAAACGGTCTGCCTCCATCATAAAATGCCTTCAAAATTGCCATACGCATCAAATTACACCCTATCAAGATAATGTTGGGTGTATCTGTTGAAATTTAAATAAGATGTTTTATCTACATTTCTTCAATTTAAACTGTTTGTGGAAAAACAATTTCAGTTTCCTATTAAAATACTTCAATCTGATCGCGGCGATGAATTTCTCAACCATAAGTTTCAAATTTGTTTAAACTCCTTTGGCATTTTTCACCGTATCACATGCCCTTACACACCTCAGCAAAACGGTTTGTCCGAGCACAAGCATCATCATCTTCTAGAAATAATGCAAGCTCTCTCATTTGATGCCAACATACCTCACAAATATTGGGTCGACACATTGTTAATATCAACATATCTCATTAACAGATTACCCTCCAACTCTCTTAACAATCTTTCTCCCTATCAAAAGCTCAACGAATGTCCACCCGCATATGATCATCTTCGAGTATTTGGGTGTCTATGTTACCCATGGCTTCCCCCTATCAACCGTCATAAACTACAACCTTGTTCTCTTCCTTGTGTTTTCTTAGGCTATGTCACTCAATCCAACGGTTACAAATGCCTAGATCCTCTCACTAATCAAATTTATATATCTCGACATGTTCAATTCTTTGAACATATCTTTCTATTCACAACTCCTACATCAACCCAGCCATCATTTAATCATCCCATGCCAGTATCCCCTCAACCCGGCTCCATTCCCCTGTGGGCTCCGAAAATTCGGCCCCGGCCTCCGCCCGCTTTTCATTTTTATTCGGTGAGGGAGTTTTATTTGAATAAGTTCCGGGGTAAATTTTGGAAGGCATATGGGTTTGTAGATAAGACACTACCCAGAGATTTTACCCTCATTTTGTGAGGACTTTATGATCTGAGTTTTGGTTTCCTATAGATGCAAGCCCCTATAGTTAATTACCCCTCCCGATAACGAGAGGGAACTTTCAATTAAGGCTATTCGTCAATCAGATACGTAGAGAATACGTGTTATCTGGCATATAGTAGTAGCAATGAATATTGGGTATTAAAGATTGGAAGTGTTTGGATATTTGGAAAGATTTAATATTTAAAATAGAAATTTCACCATCTTTCACTTAAAGCGGATGGTGGGGGAATGGATGATGGGCCCGATCAAGATCCCATGGTTCCGTCGTCCCAGTCCATCATGGTTCCTGGTTTACTTAGTCAGAGGAGGTAGTTGACCCAACCTGATAGAAGGATCCTTGTCGGCAGCCATGGGTTACTTTGCCTAAGGGGACCTTGTAGACCTGGGGTGGATCTTTGCCTAAGGGGACAAATTTAAATCCACCTTAGCTAACAGAGGGCTTTGTGTCCTATCGATCATATCCTATTGATTCATATCTCAAGGATTTGATGTCATTAAGGAGCGTATCGACTTTGGCCATAACCAGTATTTCGTGGTGCCATTTGGCGGCAAAACCACTCGGTTCAGAGGGCCCCGGGTTATAACCGTTTATCCTGCGGTGCCATTTGGCGGTGAATCGCCAGTCAGAGGATACGTACCACGTCCTTACTAGCAGGAGATTGTTTGAGAATGGATCATAGTGATATTTTCGACTAGGCATTTAGCTCTTTTGTGAGCTGAGGTAAAATTTAATTTGTCCACCTCGACAAATTGTTGCGGAGGATGAATGAATTTTGCTTTAAGTTGTTTGATAGTTATATTTCAATTTTAAATATTTGGGATTTTTGGATTTGTTGGAATTTTTGGATTTTTGGATATTTGGAAACTGCATTTGAAAAATATTTGTGAACTCCTCTGGTTGGAAAATTATTTTTGAACCCCTCCGGTTGAGATAAACATTCAACACGGCCATCATCGAGGTGTTTGAGGTTATTTCTCTTTTATTAATTGAATCTTGTCAACTCTATCAAATTATCGATAGAGGATCGGATTTCGTATATTTTATGCCCTTATTAGTGAATTCGTATTGTTATAGACCTTTGAAGGCCTAATATGAATGTATTGAAACTAATATACACGTGACCATCACCATAAACTTGTTTGATTGTTCTAACCCTGTCGACTTCTATTGACCCATATAGAAGGATCGGGTTCGAACTTGAATTCACTTATTGACCCGCGCAGCATCCCTAAACGTCACGTGTGTACCAATAACACGCTCGCCGGGACCCATGCAGGTTTGGGGGCATTTTATAATTAAACCCTTGTCGACTCCTTTTTACCTGCTAAGGAAGATCGGGTTTAAATTTAATAACCCGCGCAGCATCCCTAGACGTCACGTGTCTACCAATAACACGCTCATCGGAGCTCACGCGGGTTTTATAATTGCTTTTACCCCTTTTAGTGTACATATGTATACAATTTATAGTGCACGTGCATGAGTACTTTGAAAGTATTTGTAAACGCCTTATGTCCGCTAACACGAATGTTGCGGATCCAATGAAGTGGCATTATAGTTTGTGGACGCCTTCTGTCTCCTTGTAAGAATGTTGCAGATCTTGTGGCATGGCGTAGCAGCTTCTGAATTGGGTTGTTCGCTGCTTTGTACAGGTAGACTGTCTGTTGGAGAATTTTTGTATCCTCAAACGGATTGCATATTTTATAATCGGGCACGACATAAGAATACGATATATTACCCCGGAGGGTAAAAATACCATTTTCTTATGGGCTCAATAATAAAATTTACAATTATTTAACAGAGATTCCCCCACTCAATGTTTGGTTGAGTGGGGTTTATTTATTTCTGGGGTACAGACATCCCATAGGGGCAAGCCCCTATGGTTAATTACATCCCAAGTTTGATTTGGGAAAACTTTTGATTAAACTAGTGGTTTTTTTATTTTGAAGTCATTTAAATGTTGGCTAAAGTTTGATCTTTGTTGTTTTAAAATCCATGAAAGTCTTGCTTAAAGGGTTTTGGCCTTTAGGAATTTCAAGGAGTGGATCAACTTAGATTTAGATTTTGGGAATGAAAGTCAAAGGAGATGAAGTAGGGGCACTTGATTCTGAGAGGAAACTCAGAGGTGCCCAAACTATCCTATGTTGGGCTTTACATTTTAACAACCTAATTTTGGTTTAAGTTGAACTTTTTATTAGAAGATTGGGGCTTACATCCCAACAACACTTGTTGGAGGAATTGCCCAAAAGATGAGGGCTTATAGGGTGATTTGAAATCAACCCTTGCCTCGGACCCTAAGACTAAGGTGAGGACTACCGAGAGGTAGTGCCTCGAACCTAGATCTAACGAGTGCAAAGAGGGACTTACAAGCTACACCTCACAAGAGGCATAACCCGCCCGACCTCTGGATTTATTGTCCCGCCTGGAAGGGACTACCAGCTAACTCCTCCTAATCGCTTTTAAAACCATGTTGTTCGGTCTCAATGCAAATGTAGAGTGGTAGGGGTCATTTTTATTTAGAAGGTAGGACTTATAGCTTGGCTTTGAGGCCAAGATGCCTAAGCATGTGGGTATGCAAATGCTGACTCATAAAGAAAAAGACTTTTGTTATCTAGTCCTTAAGTGGAGGCATTCTACATGTGACACATTTTTGGCTATGCATGTTTGTTTTTTTTGTTTTGAAAACTTGGCTCCTTAGAGGGAGCCATGCAATTTTTCTTACTTGAAAGACATGGAGCCTAATTTGATTTTATTATTAGGTTGCTTACATGTTAAGGGGTAGAAAATTTAGTTTTTATCCTAAGAGCCTAACGTAATCAAGTCCAGGCCACACCCACAAAAACAAGAGAAGAAACCTAGGAAAGACATGCATTTCTATTGCGCACCCAGGTAAACAAATCAAAGCATGCTTTTATTTATATCAAATGAAAGGAAATGTAAAGAGTCCACATTATTACAACCAGATTTGGCAGCTGAGTTGCCTGCCATTATACAACCCAGTCAAATTTACAGACTCTACTTGTGGGGTTCTTCAGGATCTTGACTTTTGAATGGACATTAGGCTTCACCTTTGCAGGTACATCCTTCTAGTCCACTTCATTCTTTTGCTCCAAACCCCCACAAGTTTGATTACACATCCTAATTCTATCAAATACATATTTGAAAAGAAAAAGACTAATCCAGGAAGCTGGACAGCAAGCTGGAGGACTTGGGAATAGCAGAACTGCCGTTTCTGTTGCTGTAGTTCTCCTGGACAGCAGCTTTTTATGTTATGAGTCCCATGGCAGCACTTAGAACTTGTCCAGAATTCTGGACAGTACGTTGGAGAGGAGAAATTCCAGCCGTTTCCTCCTATTGGGTGCACGTGAGCATGAAAGGGTGGGAGGGAAACTGTGTGGACAGCAATGAAGGAGGGCTGGAGTTAATTTCCCTTTGATTTAGGCCTGGATTTGGAAGAAAAATTAAGTGGGGAGGAGGGGCATGGGGCGGGCCAGGAGAGAGAGGAGTGGGAATTGAAAACTTAAATTAATTTCAGCTTAAGTGGATTTGGAGGGAAAATGTTTGAAATTAAATTCAAATTTCAATTAGGATTGAGGGATTAAAGGAGCATTTAATGGGGGAAAGCCTATCATGGGGCCAGCGACATTAAGAGAGGGAGGGGGATTTTGTGGAGTGATTTAATAGCTGGAAGGGGGAAAATTGGATCGGGTGGAGGGGGAGGGGCCTTGGGCCGGCGGGTGGAGATGTGGTTTGGTGGTGATGTTGACACAAGGAGGGGAGGTGGTGATAGGCCGTCGGGTGGGGAGGAAGGAGGGGAGCTCTGGTGGAGGAAATTAAACAATCGGCGGCGGGGAGGAAGAAAGGGGTGTTGGAGGGAGAGGGGAAGAAAGGAGATGAAAGAGAAAATACAAATAAGATAAAAGAACTCACAAAGAAATCTTCAAGCGCCACTTCCTCAAGAACTCACAAAGAGATCTTGGAAAGTTCACGAACTCACAAAGAGATCTTTTTCCTCTCATGAACTCACTAAGAGATCAAACAAACACAAACTTTTCATTCAATAATTCATCATCTAGTACAATGCATGAGGCCTCCTATAAGTAGGCCAAAATGAAACAAAAACTAAAAGACATAAATGCCCTCGATGCTACAATATCAAATGACCACCCATAAGGTTAAAACAGTAAAAACTGAAAATATAAAATAAACTACTACATAAAATGACTCAAAATAAAAACTCCTGATCGTGGCCGTCAATCTCCGGCATCTCCAATGGTACACGTGTCGAAATCGCTGACGATGTCCTCATCAATGAGTATATGGATTATGACTATCAATAAAAATAAGATGAAGATCTTATATATATACTTTTTTAGCAATTTGACTCTTAATAGGACTTTGGAAGAAAAGGATTCATGTAGTCAACCCCACGTATAAATGCTTGTTGTTGTTGTATATATATTTTTTAGTAATTGCATTAGCACAGAAGTTATCTTTATTGTGGATATTATTTGTATAAAATTGTTTTGTTGTCATAGAAGTGTGATTTTTATACCTTTTCATTAATTACTTTTGCACAAAGTTTATGATATGTTTTAATATGTTAATAGGTTGGGATGTTAATATGTTACTTATTACTTTATACTTTGATGTATTCTCACTTTGCGCAATTTGTTGATTTTAAGGCTTACAGCTCACCTCACATATGAAATGCACCTCCATATGAAATTGTGTTATTTTAAACATTGCTTCTATGTGCAAAATGGCAACATCTTGAACCTAAGGCTTATATAATGAAATATTAATAAATGAATGAATTAATTTGAAAACATATAACGAAAAATAAACCTTAGGTGATTTGGGCATGTAAAATAAAGACTAGAAGATGTGTCAATAAGATAGTTAAAACTATTGTTTTGGGACGAAAGTAGCGTAACAAAATTTATAGAAAATAGAATTAATACCTCACAACAATAAGCAGGAGCAAGTGGAAGATGTGAATTCGTTACGGCAACTCTAAATAATTAGAATTAGAAAAAGGCTAATGATCATGATGAAGCTAATTTCACAAAAGTGGTAGCAAGAATTTTATTTGGTGGATCCATAAAGTTTTTGCAAAAGCTGTTTAGATGAGGAGAGAAAGGTGAAGAAATGAGCTTAAATCTTTGTTTATTGAGCCGTAATAAAATAATTTTGAATTCCAAAATTGAAGAAGTTATTTCATCCACAATTTGTAGGAATGATGTCATTGTAAGACCTATATCCTACTTTTGATTGAGCAAATTTTTATGCATCCAGCCATCCTCTCTATTAATTCTTTAAAAATTGAAATTTCTCTAAACTTTCCTTCTTTTCCCTCTCTCATGCGGCACTGCCAATATCCGGCCCATGGTAATCTTGGAGAATATCCCTTTGAGATCTCTATTATAGAATATCCATTAAATTTGAAAGCTAAAAATCTTAATTAATAGAGGATCATTCCCCCCACTAAGTTTTTCCAATAATTCACGCTCAAGTGATGCTGCCTGTTTAGTAAAATTGAAATGTCAAAAACGTTAATTTAACAGATCTGAGATGTCTAGGTTAAGGTTTCATTGATAATGCTGTGTTGTGCTATTTGGTGGATATAATGAAGTCACTGCTAGTGGGATGGTCCTGAAGCTCCAGCCAAGTTACAGGGTTTTTTTTACCTTTCTAATTATAAGGAAACTAATGGCTGAGAATCACCAGCGTCAGTAGACTTTCGCAGCCCCTCAACCTTTTCCTTCATTTCCTCTCCTTCCATTCTCTAATCTGTTCTGAATTTTTTTTTTTAAATTGTAGGATGGCTTGGACAGGTGTATGAGGTAATTTAAAATAGACTTAAGTGATTTAGACATTCAAAAAGAAGGGTAAAAAAAGTAAAAAATGTACCCATTTGACAGTAGGTATAATTAGCATATGTGGATGGATATAAGTTCTTTAAAATAATTTGCAAAGAATGGTCTTATGAAGTGCAAATAGAAAACGAGGATTAAAAAATCTGACGCCAAATAAGTTTGTAAAGGCAAATGGTGGTGATGGCTTGATTAAATCTAAGATTTTCTTATTTAAGACTCTAACAATAGAAAACTATAGGTTCTGTGACCATTATAAAGGTTGTTGTATTGTTGTTTATTCAGGGAACTAATTGTTGTATTTCTTCCACTGACTCTGACAGCTTGATCTTTATATATTTGGGGACCTTTAATATTCTGTTTATATTGTTGGACCTTTAATATTCTCTTATATTCTCACCTTCGTTGTTATGAAAGTTAGCCTTATTTTCATGTTGAGGACTGTTTATCTGTAAGGGCCTTTATTAATTGCCGTTGGGTATGTCTAACTTCCCTTCAACACCGCACCAAGATGTGCTCACGACAAAATACAAAATTTTCATTATAGTTGTGATGATTGTCAAAATTTTGTTGCGTTTCATGTACTTTTGGATGTATAAACCACGCCAGCTTTAGTTGAACAGAAGCTTCTAGTCATTCAGTAAACTTTATCTATAAGTTACAAGCATCTTATAGCTGTTAATGACAGCAATGACATTTTTTTTTATATAGAAAAAGTATATGATTTAGTTTTTAAGTATTTTATTTAGTCATGAATCTTGACAGCTGTGTGCATTCTTATTGTTGATATTCTATGTTGAACCAGATTTATGTCTTTTTCCCGACTGATGTAAAGGTTGGTATGAAACACGTAAAGAAATATGTTGAGTTGATGAAGGCAGATAATGTTCTGCGAGCAATATTAGTAGTTCAGCAAAATTTGACTCCATTTGCAAGATCATACGTTGCAGAACTTACTCCAATAATTCATTTGGAGGTTTTTCAGGTAAACCGAGATTAGGTGGCCTTCACCATAACATTACATGAATGATTATGACATTTCCCTAGGGAAATCTGATTTTCAGCTCCGTCTAATGTTAGATGATACTTGTTGTTCATGCGATTTTCAGTCTTATTGTCCTTCTGACATAAAAAAATGATCAGGAGGCTGAGCTGCTGGTAAACATTAAAGACCACGTTCTTGTGCCAGAGCACCAGGTGCTTACAAGTGAGGAAAAGAAAACTTTGTTGGAGCGTTATACTTTGAAAGAAACTCAGGTATGTTTCTGCATGCATGCCCAAGGGGCTTAGCTCGATCCTGTACAACTTAGTGACCATTTCTTAGGTCCTATGCTATGTTCCTTTAAAGGAAACAAATTATTTCCTTATTTCAAAGCTTTTACAGTCCATTTGTAGCTTTTTTTCAAGTACAGCTACAATTTTTTGCATTTTTAACGAAATATTTTTCATCCTTTGGCATACTCTCTCATTTGTGTCTTTTTAGAGTTACTGAAATCATTTTGTTGACATGGTCAAACACTTAGTTTTTCAGTTGATCTTTGTTGGGAGTTATAGAATTACTGAAATATTGCTTTATGAATGGTTGACATGCCTGGCTTTATAAAGTTATCTAAGTTTATCTGATTTGGGATGAGGACTGTAGGACAGATAGGTAAAGGAGGTAGAAATTCCCATTAGCCTTTATGAAGATTATTCTTCCGTTTTCAACCATACAAAATTGTCAATTGAAGAACTTCCTATTAGTATTCGAAACCTTAGTAAATTCACATATTATGCCTGTTTAATATAAATATACAAAATTTATCATTATTGTCCATATTTATTGACATTTTCAATATTTTTGCTTAGTGAGTTGTTAACTCTATTTTATGCAAATATGCTTGGGTAACATCTATCTATTTTATCTTTGCCGTACTCCTTTTCATTCGTATTTCTTTGACAATAATTTTGTCGAACTATCCTTTGGGTGTATCATTTATCTTACATTATACATGCCCAATCCTCTAATTTTATTATTTTTAATCTTTTATAAATGGATGTTATTTACCTATCCTTCTAATTGAATCTTTTATCAATCTGTCTTTCATAATTTTGACACACATTAAACTTATCATTTTTACTTTTATCACACTCACTTTTCCCATCAAAGACTTCTTTATTAGGCATCTATTAAATCCATTTAACATAACCAACCTAAATACATTTTTATAAAATTATCTTTGAATCTTTATTATATTATCTTATCACATTGTAACCTGAGGTATTTATCTATTTTATTCACTCATGCTTATCTCTAGAACTTATTCCCTCACTATATCCCCAACATTCTCATTCTTAATTATAAAAATTGTTTTGTTTTTTACAAAAAGTATGGGAAATGCATTTATTTAAAAATTAAAATATTTGATACTATCATGCATAATCCATGAACTTAATTTCTAAATGAAAAAATGACCAAATTGACACCCTAACATTTTTCTGAAGGATCAAAATAATCCTGATTATATGAAAATATCTATTTGGTCTCTGACCCTTTAAATATGGACCAAATTAGTTCCTTTGTGAGATCATTTAAGTCCTTATTTAAAATGTCAATGGACTATTTTGATCCGTTGTAAAAAATCAGAGGACCATTTTGGTCTTTATCTCTTTTCTAAAAACTAATTTGTTTACTAATCTGTCTTTATGAGTAGGCTTTGATTAATTTTTTTTAATTTATTTTGATTTTTGCCTCTTATATTCTATACATTCAATTGTTAATTGTGTATTATGATATTGTTAACTTGGCAATCTAGAATTTGAAGCTGGGATAATTTAAATTTAGTTTCATCCTTTTTTTTTCTCTTGCTTGACTTGTTATTTCAATAGTGACTCTTTTTAGTATATTATATAAATAGTTATTACTTTTAATTTGGATTTGTGTATATTTTATACATATATGTTATATATACATTTTTATTTTTAAGCTCAAACTTTATATGAAAATTGTATGATTCACATACACCTACTTGTATTTCTTAATGCGTTGACTGTATTTATGTAGAAGTTAAATGATTTAAATATACATAGATATCTATTCTTGTTTAAAACTAGTACGGCAGTTCACTTTGTAACCATGAGCTTCAAAAACTGCGGAAGATTTCTAAATAATTGTTGAAGGGTAGGGACAAAATATGTGGACAAGGAAACACCAAGCAAAAATTTTCAAGAATCAGAGCGTCTAGGCTCTCCTTCTGATGAATAAGCTATTAGCATTCCTATGGGTCTATTTAGTTTATATTTTGTTAACCTCTATGTATTAACCAGTAGAACAAAAAAAAATCATCATCAAAATCATACCCGGCGGATCCACGACATCTGCCCGAAATCCCGACTGAAATCCCCGGAATCCTACCGAAATCCCGCTGTTCAGCGCCGAATCAGTCGCTTCTCCCGCGATTCCTGCTGAAATTCGGCTCTCGATCGCTGCCCCGTTCTCGTCGTTAAATACCGAACCCTCAGTTGCTTCTGCTCTCCACTCCCGAATCCTTCTTCCTCTGTCCGACCTCTCTGCTCTTCGATCCTCTGCTTCCCGAACTCCTCTCCCACGACACTCTCCTGCTCTCGACTCCAAACCACTGCGGAAGCCTCTCATCCCGCGACCTCCTTCCTCTCCCATTGCCGATCTCAAGCCAGCGCCTGGATCCCGTCAGGTTCCGACCTCCTCTGGCCAAGAGAGAGAGAGAGAGAACCCTCAACTCCTTCCACGCTCTCCTGCTCTCGACTCCAAACCACTGCGGAAGCCTCTCATCCCGCGACCTCCTTCCTCTCCCATTGCCGATCTCAAGCCAGCGCCTGGATCCCGTCAGGTTCCGACCTCCTCTGGCCGAGAGAGAGAGAGAGAGAGAGAGAGAGAGAGAGAGAGAGAGAAAGAGAGAGAGGGTGCCGAACTCTACCTGGCCGAAACCCCCTTGCTCCTCCCGTCCGACTCCAACAACCCGCAACTTCTGCGGGTTCGTCCGATCCAGAGAACCGAGAGAGAGAGAGAGAGAGAGAGAGAGAGAGAGAGAGAGAGAGAGAGAGAGAGAGAGAGATCAAGCCCCTCTCATACCCGAGCCATCCTCTTCCTTCCCCGACGATCCCTTCTTTAGGATCGGAAGTTACTCCATTTTGATCGGAAGTAAGCACAGGAGCTTTTGCCGTAAAGGTAATTTCTCCCTTTCACGTGCTACTTCAGCCAAATCCAATAAATCCTCTGAACAGAGGAAAAGTGTAGAAGGGTTGGTATTGGGTTTAACTAGTGTTAATGCTAATTGATTATAATTTTAATTATAATTATTTTTAATAAATTGTATTTAATTATAATTAATTTTGATTCAATAATTATAATTAATGTTAATTAATTATAATTAAAAAATGACCAAATTGACACCCTAACATTTTTCTGAAGGATCAAAATAATCCTGATTATATGAAAATATCTATTTGGTCTCTGACCCTTTAAATATGGACCAAATTAGTTCCTTTGTGAGATCATTTAAGTCCTTATTTAAAATGTCAATGGACTATTTTGATCCGTTGTAAAAAATCAGAGGACCATTTTGGTCTTTATCTCTTTTCTAAAAACTAATTTGTTTACTAATCTGTCTTTATGAGTAGGCTTTGATTAATTTTTTTTAATTTATTTTGATTTTTGCCTCTTATATTCTATACATTCAATTGTTAATTGTGTATTATGATATTGTTAACTTGGCAATCTAGAATTTGAAGCTGGGATAATTTAAATTTAGTTTCATCCTTTTTTTTTTCTCTTGCTTGACTTGTTATTTCAATAGTGACTCTTTTTAGTATATTATATAAATAGTTATTACTTTTAATTTGGATTTGTGTATATTTTATACATATATGTTATATATACATTTTTATTTTTAAGCTCAAACTTTATATGAAAATTGTATGATTCACATACACCTACTTGTATTTCTTACTGCGTTGACTGTATTTATGTAGAAGTTAAATGATTTAAATATACATAGATATCTATTCTTGTTTAAAACTAGTACGGCAGTTCACTTTGTAACCATGAGCTTCAAAAACTGCGGAAGATTTCTAAATAATTGTTGAAGGGTAGGGACAAAATATGTGGACAAGGAAACACCAAGCAAAAAATTTCAAGAATCAGAGCGTCTAGGCTCTCCTTCTGATGAATAAGCTATTAGCTTTCCTATGGGTCTATTTAGTTTATATTTAAACTTAGGATGCTGGCTAATATTGTGTATTCGGATCACTACAGCACCTTAACGCTTTAAATAGGTCAGAAATTTCTTGGAATATTGGTTTCGCAATCCTTCAGTAATAGGTTGCTCAGTAAGCTTGCTTTTTGGTTTCCAATCCTCATTGCTCTTCATGTTCCATTTTTTCCTGTATTGGACTTGAACATTTTGTGGTGATGGTTGACATTGTTATTGTCACGTTGAAGTTCCAAGGCTTAAATCATGATCATCAATGCTTTGCAAAGTTCCTTTCTAGTATATAAAAGCGCAAATAGTCACTAATCAGTAATCACCTAATTTTCCCAAGCAACATTTGTGGCATTACCTTACTGTGGTTGAATAAATTGCATATATTAACATCATTTCAAATAGAGCATTTATTTTGTTTTGAATGTATTTTTGTGCAACTTCCAAGTTTAACTCTGTTACTTCTGATTTCATTTAGGTTGTGTTAATTTGTAGCAGACAAATATTTATTCTTAAGGCTTAAAACTGAAGTTTTGTGTATTATGTAGCTAAATAGTAGGATGTCACGTATTCATTTATGTTAATATTCTTTCTTTTGATCCTCCAGATAGATTCAAATCAATTTTTTTAGATCTATTTTGTTCAGGTTCATCAGAACATTTTATAGCTTAAATTGTGTGAGGTTGTGTAGGCTTAAGTATATTACTCTCTGAAACAGTGTTTGTTTGCTTGTTGGGACTTCATGTGCCAGCTCGCTCTCAGTGCCACTCTCGCATATGTGCTCTCTCTCTCTCTTCCACTCTAGTACCACCAATCATTTGCCTCAAATGCTGAGTTTGCTTCTGCCCTTAACTTTTGGAGAAATTATTCTGTGCAGATACCGGACAGTCTGGAGATCAACCAGAACACGCCACGTCACCCGGTACACACCGGTACCGAGCAAAAAAGTGATGTAGCGCGTTCTGGTTGGTCTCCGGACGCTGTCCGAGGCCCGCACAAAATAATTTTTCCAACTTTTGCGAACTCAAATAGAAAACAACTGCATTGGTCATCCGCAGCTTCATGATGCTTCATGCTCCTTCCAACCGAATGTCCATCTCGATTATTATGGATTGCAAGCTTTCCTGCCAACATCTAGACCCCCAAATTTCTTGAATGCCAATGTCGCACAGAACCTCTTCCTTCAGTGCCAATATCCTACCATGTTTTTTTGAAGTGGGTGGGTGCTTTGAAGTCCAATGGATTATAACTCTCCAAAGTAAGGTTGGGCTTGCCTATTCTAATGAATGGTGATGACCTTATTTTGGCCTTGCGGAGTAGGCTCAGCATCTCACTTCCGAGACAGGCTTGGCTTAGGTTTGTGATGTACAACATCCTTTAGGTGCTTATGGTTTTATGAACCAAACAAATTAGGACATTTATGCCAATTAAGATAAACGCATACACACATCACATACGAAAGACTTGAATTCAAAATTTCTTAGTTGATATCCAAAAATTCCAACCAATAGATTAAGAAGAGTTGAATGTAGCTCATCAATCAATCATCACATTAGTATTTGGATCTATTATGGGAATTTGCGAGTCATTCGAAGGAGAAACTACCTACCTCTGATTAATTGAGAAATTATTAAGTGCGGAGTCCAGACGGAAAGAACTGTCCAGATATGTGAGTTGTTGCATGTAGCTCATCAATCAATCATCACCTTAGTATTTGGATCTATCATAGGAATTTGCAAGTCATTCGAAGGAGAAACTAACTACCTCTAATTAGTTGAGAAATTATTATGTGAGGAGTCCGAACGAGAAGAACTGTCCGGATATGTGAGTTTACACACTGTGTACAAATTTATATACAATGTGTATCATATTTTTGTACACACTGTGTACACTCAGTCCAGACAGCTCTTCCCGTCCGAACTCATAGAATAATTTCTCCTGATTAGTTAGTGTAGGTGTCAGAGTGGTCTGAATCACTCTTTTTTCCTTTGCACTCGGCTGGGTTTGATTCAATCTGATGCATTGGCTCATCTCTGATTGTATTTCTTTATCATGACTAATACTAACCTGCTTTTGTTCGGTTATTTATGATTTTATTGGTAAACAGCTCCCAAGAATTCAAGTCATAGATCCAATTGCAAGATATTACGGCCTCAAACGGAGTCAAGTTGTGAAGATCATCAGACCCAGTGAAACTGCAGGAAGATATGTCACTTATCGATATGTTGTATGACTTCTGATTTTTTTTTTAATCTCAATTAAATCATATTCGGATAGATTTTTATATATCTTAACATTACAGAACCCTCGGGACCTATCATCTGACCTTGTATTGTAAGTATGCTTGAATTATGTTTATATTGAAGATTTCGAACTATTTCAAGTTTTCTTTTAACATTTATATTAACTTTGTTTTAAGCTATATTTTCTTTAAAAAAATTCAAGATTGTGAATTATTAAAATGTAATAAATAATAAAATTATAATTATCTTTATATCACATGATTTAAACATTATATATATAAATAAAGAGGAAGAGAGTTTTAGATTTTATTTGAGATAGTAATTTTATTGTTTTTTAAAGAAGCTTAGCTTTTTAACATAAAAAGGCTTTGAACTAAAAATTACTATAATAAAAAGTAGTAAAAATTTTATTGCAAGCTAATAACCGATAAGATATATATATAAAGAGATCAAACTTTTTATGAGAGAAAAATCCAATCTTTTAAATCAAATGTAGTTTATCTTGTTCTTTTGGTTGGGGCTTTAACTACTAATTAAGAGATTTTGGATTTGATTTTTACAGATATGTTATATATATGACTTTGCCTAAATTGACCCAAATATTTCTCAAAAAATATATATATATTTTAGTATGCAGCCTCATTTGCAACTAAAGAAACTAAAACATGAAAGAAAATTTCAAGATAAACAGCTCAACTTTAAGCCTCCAAAGTTCGTTCTTTCCTTTAAATAAAGAAAGAATTTACATTAGCCCCCCAAGAATCTCATACAATAATAATATGAACTGAAAATTAAACAGGAAGATGGGTACTTCATAGAAAAGACAAGTACATTGCTTGCTAAACAATGGTGTTAGTGTTACCCCGCTGAAGTCGACAGGTGAAGGACTGCAGTGATAAGAGCAGTTCCTTCAGCCTCTGTTGAATCTCAGAGTCGATCAAATTCCCATCGCTATCGAATTTCTTTGGGGGCTTATGACCTAAAATGAACAATTCAGGCTTGTTGATGAAATGTAGATCCAGAAAAACTCCCACTTGGCGTAGATGATACTGTGATCGTTGCCCAGCAGAACCTCCTGCAGCACTTACAACTGCGGCAGATTTTCCAGCCATCACATTTGGAGGTCGAGAGGCCCAATCAATGGCGTTTTTCAAAGGAGCTAAAACAACCATAAACAGTAATGAGAACATCACATTGATAAAAAAACAGAATATGTTCGGAAGACGGATTAGTTAGAGATAAAAAACTATACAAGATGTCACCACATATGCGAGGACTTCAAGATCTAAAGTATGTTTTCTCACAGGTGCAAGCCCCTATAGTTAAATATCTCTCCCAATGACAGGAGAACATTTTCGATTAAGACTTATCATTAGACACTAAGCACCCAATGTATAATAGTAGCATATTTAAATATTTAAGATTAAAACTTTTAGCACTTTTTACTTGAAGCAAAGTGTGGGAGGATTGATGATAAACACGATTAAGATCTCATGATTCCATCGTCCATAGATGTCATAGTGCTTAGTCTACTTAGTCAGAGAAGGTGATCGGCTCAACCTAACCAAAGAATCTATATCCGCAACCATGAGTTGTTTCATACAATGGTTCCTTGTAAAGTTTAGGTGGGTGTTTGTTTGAGGGACAAATTTAAGTTAATGTTAGCTATATCAAAGACAAAGAATTTGAGGGACAAATTCTATTGGCTTTAGTTTAAAAATATTAGAAATGAACATTGGCTTATATCTGAAAGAGATCATAAATGACTTGCATGGAAATCCCACAGATAGGTATCCATTACTTTTGGTTTTAGGTGTTTCCTATTGAACAATTAGATTAATATCAGAGACAAAGAATCAAGTAAACCTTTCACTGAGGTGTTCTTTAAATAGAAAAGGTTTAAACAAAAATGTTATAAGAACACAACAAATCAGACTGAGTATTTCAAATACTTGCATCGAACAAGAGATTCATGGTCTATTTGCTAGGAGAAAAATGTAATCAGTTCAATTTTTAGAACTTTATAAATTTAAAAGCTGAATTTTGAAAGAAAACAAATAGAACAGAACTTTCTTTATGAATCATTTATCATTAAGGAAAAAAGGGCTTTCATATCAAATTTCTTGCAGATTCCTTCATCAGGAAACCTTGAAAGACTGAGATAAGAATATGATGAGTGATCAGAGATGAAATTAGTACCAGACAGCGAATAGTTGTACTCGGGCGAGGCAAAGAGGATACTATCGGCCTCGAGTATTTTTCGGCGGAAGGCATCGACAACCGGAGGGTAGCCACCATCGATCTCTAGGTCTGTGTTTAGGAGAGGAAGGGAACCGATGTCGACTAACTCTATATGCATACCGCTTATGTCCTCTTCGCATAGCTTCTTGGCTTCAAGTTAGATAGAGGGTTTTCAAACCGAACAGATAAGAAATTCAATTAGTCACAGAGGAATTCCAAGCCGAGCTTATAGTAAAAGAAGAATTAAAATTAGTTACAGAAGGATCCAATCCTAACATAAAGGAAGATAAGAAATGAACACACAGATATTCTAATTACAATTTACCGTAGCGGATGAGTCCGCGGTTGAAAGAGGCGCGGCGAAGAGAACCACATATGGCCGCTACCCTTATAATCGTCGCATTCTCGCTCACCACCGTCCCTTCCATCATCCCTCTCTCTCTCTTTTCCTCTATCTCTCTCTGTCTTTCTCGACTCTTCCTTCCCTCTCACCAGCTTTCAAATCAGATCGCCAAAGAAATTGGAGAAGAACAATTGCAGCACGGCAAGCAGATATGCAGAAACAAATTGTGTACCTTACGTGCTTTATTTCATATTTGTATATTATATATATTCCCAAAAAAATATTATATATATATTAAGATTATAAGATGATTGTTAATATAATAAGTCAAATAGAATTTAAGTACTGTGACACGAACACTGAAAAAATGATTTTTCCAAAGTGTACATTGTAACAGTCCAAATTCTAATTCTCGAGATATTGCCCTTTGACATAAAAGCCTCACGATTTTTGCCTAAAGGAGAGGGGGCATCACACTTCTCTTAACTCTCCTCCCTCTCTCAAAACCTGAACCTCTCCCTCACATCACTTAATTTATCTCTCCTCTCGACCATTCCCCGATAAAAACCATCGAGCCCTCTCATCTCTTTCTATATCTCTTGTCACTCACTTTCTGCTCGTCTTGAGCCTTCCCACAATCACAGCCATCGAGCCTTCTCATCTCGCTCTGTTTCCCTCTCATAACCACTAAGAGAGGTCTTCCTCGGCTTTTGTTCTCCATTGATAAAAGAATGTCAACAAAGAAATCTTCTCCTTCATAAACCTCCATATTTTTCATCTAATCCTAATGAGATCCATTTCTAACATCTTCTTCTTCAATGTTCACAAATTTTTTGTCCAATCACACTTACATTTGTCACAACTTTATAGAAATTCTTTTTATTTATTATTAATCTCAAATCAAAGATAATAAAATTTAAGATCATCCTAATTAATAGAAAGGGGAGTGTTAAACATATCATAATTTTTTTTTTTTGCGTTAGCTATAAATCATATTAAAAATAAAATTCATATTAATTTATTAAATTTTTTTATACTTTTAATTTGATTTAAATATTAGAATAATATATAAATAAATATAAAATTTAAATTTTAGATATGACGCGAATAGATAAGAAATTTTATGCTGATATCGATGACTGGAAACAAGAGGAGGCCCGTGCACGAATTTCCAAAAGTCAATAGATCGGAAAGAAGAGGCCCGTGCACGAATTTCCAAAAATCAATAGATCGGAAACAAGGCCCATGCACGAATTTCCAAAAATCAATAGATCTCGTACCTGGATCTATTGATTAGATATAACATATTCCGATTAATTTTTTATAATCATTTATTTATTTAAATTAGTATATTAAATATGATTAACTGAAAATATAATTTATTCATCGTAATAAAATCAATAAAAAAATTTTTATTAAATGCAATGATAATCCTATATATTGACTGTATAATACAAGTTGAACATTAATAAAAAAATTGATATATATATATATATATATATATAAACATATTTACATGACAGTTTGACGGGAAATTTTTTTTTTTTTTTTTTGAGATTAATATTATGATATAATTTATATCGGAACATATAAATTATATATTTTATCTTCAGAGTAATAAGAATTTGATATGTCATAAAAATAATCTTGATGGAACAATAACTCTTGAGGTAAAATCAAATTTAAAAATTTTTTAAATTAAATTTAGGGAACCATTCGAATTCCGATTTCAAACAAAATTTATTGTTGAACTGACAATCTCGAAAAGACGAACACACGACAACAAAATTTGATCCAATTGAGTCTAAATGGGTCCAAATCAAAGACCCGGAAGCACATTTCAAAGGTTCAAAATCATAAATTTGATAATCAAATAATTTCTAAACATGACATGCTTAATAATAGAATCGAGTGGCTCACGAGACGAAGCCAATGATGCCTAGATTGACAATATTTGATATCATTAAGATACTCAAATATTGATAAACGGTCCACGATCAGAAAGAGTCGATATAGTATCATCTTGTCAAATCACTCCAAACATGTCATTTGATCTTCTCCCTATTTATTGGGCACGCCCACTAAAAAAATTATAAATATATCCTTATTCTTTCATTGAGTGGGGACCCAAGCAAGGAAAGGAAAGGAAGAGAAATTAGAGTTTTCTTTCATCAAACTCTTCCTCAGCCACCACCCAGCCACCGGCCATCACTGGACATTTTGTCAAGACTTCCACCTGGCCATCAGACCGAACAATCAGACTTTTGTTCGCTATAACCATATTAAAAATAAAATTCATATATAATTTATTTTAAAATAATATAAATAAATATAAAATTTTAAAATGTTTAGCATATTGATGCGAATACATAAAAAAATTTTATGCTGATATCAATAAGTGTGAAACGAAGAGCCCGTGCACGAATTTCCAAAAATCCAATGGATTTCGTACCGGGATCTATTGATTAGTTATTACATATTCCGATTATTTTTATAATAATCTTATTTAAATTAGTATATTAAAAACTGACAATTAAATTGATTTTCATCGTAAAAAAAATTAATTTATTAAATGCAATGATATGATTGCACTTATAAAATTTTTGATTTCTTTTAGATTTGTATTAATCTTTTAGGTATATATATATATATATATATTAATATATATATATATATATATATATTATATGTAAAAAAAATAAAAATTGAGAGAATATTATGATAAAATTTATATCGGAACGTAAAATGTTATATATTTATTTTGAGAGTAATAAGAATTAAGTATTGTATTTGATATAGCATAAAAAATTAATCTTGATTGAACATGAATCTCGAGGTAAAATCAAGTTGGAAACTTACAAAATTAAATATGGGACAATTTGAACTTCGATTTCAGCAAACTTATAGTTGAATTGAACATCTCGAAAAAAGGACTCAACGACAACAAATTTAACCCAATTTGAGTCCAAATGGTTCAAATCGAAGACCTCCACCCAAGCAAGGAAGAGAGGAAGAGAAATTAGAGTTCTCTTGCCACCACTCTTCCTCGACCTCCACCCAATCACCGATCGTTGTCAGACTTTCGCCAAACTTCTACCGGCCACCGACCATCGTCGAACTTTCGCTGGACTTCCGTCCGGCCACCGACTATCATCAAACTTATGCCCAACCATCAACTGTGTTCGACTTTTGTCAGACTTCTGCTCGACCATCAATCATGGCCACAAATTGTTGTTACATATTGAAGTTCCAATAGGAAGTGCCGATCTTATTAATATCTTCAAGTCAAGAGACCGAATATTCTATTTTATTTGCAAAGTTCATATTTATAAAATGATTAAAATGATGGATATGAACATGGCACAAAAATTAGAATTCTCTTGCCACCAGACACTTCCTCGACCTCCACCCAATCACCGATCGTTGTCAGACTTTCACCAGACTTCTGCCGGCCACAGACCATCGTTGAACTTTCGCTGAACTTCCGTCCGACCACCGACTATCATCAAACTTATGCCCAACCATCAACTGTGTTCGACTTTTGTCAGACTTCCGCTCGACCATCAATCGTGGCCACAAATTGTTGTTACATATTGAAGTTCCAATAGGAAGTACCAATCTTATTAATATCTTCAAGTCAAGAGCCCGAATGTTCTATTTTATTTGCAAAGTTCATATTTATAAAATGATTAAAATGATGGACATGAACCTGACACAAAAATACAGGGAGGCATTCCCATCCTTTGCTTATCATTTGGGACAACTTTCTTACTGATTTTTAAAACAATTTTTTAGTACACAAAATTTTAAGTTCAAAAAATTTGTGTGCTCAAAATCTGCTTTATAAAATAACAAGAAAACTATCTCAAATAAGAACCTAAAAGTTAATCTCTGCATTGCCTACTAGTATTAACAACATAGATTTTTGTACAATGTAAGAGCATGAATCATCGGCGAAAAAGGATTAATATTGCCGACCCCACGTAGTGAGGCAAAGACTTGATGTTGCCGTTTTTGTTGTTGTAAGAGCAGAAATGAACTATACTGGAGCAAGAAGAGAAGCTGATATAATCAGCCAACAGAATCTTCAATCATCACTTCAGCACCATTTGTTGCATCATCTGAACTAGAATCACCATCAGAATCATTATCATTTTTATCACTGGGTTCACTATGGTTACTTCCTTCCTCTGTTTCTGCATCTGAAGGAGACTCACTCTGTGTCACACCGACAAATCCAGGAAATTTTTGCTTGAAATCAGGTTCAACTATGTCAATCATGGCGGAAAGTGCCCGGTGCTCTCTAGTAAGTTTGGTAATGCCGCGAGCAGAATTGCTCTGACTCCCTGCAGCCTGACCTTCAGAACCAAGCATCAGAAATGCAGTAGCAGCATCAGCCTCGGCACCTGTACCATGATCTTCTGGAGATTCATTCTCCCCATAAACTGATGGAGCGGTGTCAATTGCCCAGCTCCCTGCAGCTTCTGAAGCTAAGAGATCAGCAGTTCTGATTGTGCTGGCTTCAGTATCCTCCTTTCTCTGCTGGGATGATGGGCTAGTTTTGAGATCTTTCTGGTCAACTTGGGCTTCAATTTCCTCATCAATCTGCATAGTATCTCCAGCAAGGTTGCTGCATTTGAGAAGAGCAAGAGCAGCAGAACCTCTTTCATCCACTTGGCTTTCAGTTCCAATAACACGTTCAGTATCATTTTGGTTCAAATCAGGAACAATTTCTGTTCCCACACCATCGATATCAGAGCCAAAACCTCGAGAAGCCAACCTATCAACACCTCCACCTTGTAGATCTTGAGTGTTACCATCTTGGCTATCATTTTGACAATCATTCTTCTGGGTGGTGCATACGGCTTCATCATCATCGTCGTCGACGTCACAGTCATCCTTACTATCAATTTTGAGGAAGGAATTCTTCTGAGTTGAAGCACTGGAAGACTCTTTGGGATTTCCTCTAGGTTGGGCCAAATTAAAATTTAGATTAACAGGCATATTTAAATCAACAACAAATAAGGAGTTTTCATAGTTCTCCTCATCCTCCAAGGCCTTTTGCATTGCCTTCAGCTGCTCTTGCTGCTTCGAAAATAATGCAGAAATCTCCTCAGTCGTGGAGTAGAAAGCCCTCAGTTGGGTTTCCCTAGGTAAATATGAAGGAGTGATATAAGAACCAGGTCTTCTAGAACAATCAACATATGTAGTGGCAGCTAGCAGAATTATTTATCAATTAAATAGCACGGTGAAGCATGCGCATTGGTATAGAAATTAACTAGAGCAAAGTCAATAACAAAGCATGCCATTCATGTTGGCAGACCGGCATTTCATGTGTCGTATCTATTCCAACTAGATGGACCAAGTTTAAAAGTTAGTTAAATTTTTATAAAGAAGTTTTTTTTTTTAATGTGGAACAAAGTTACATTTACTCATTTTATTAACTTTATCAAGCATAACATTTCAAACTAGGTGGAACAAAAAGAACGTACAACAAATGTTACGACTTGTAGGGATAAGCTGGAGGAATTATTGCAGGACTAGATGACTTGTTGTGCTACTCTTCTTATTTCATCAAATCAGTGGCCTATGATTTGTTTATTGCTAATTTTATGACAACCATAATGTAAATATTGTGGGAGTCGTGTCGCAACCAAATTAAACCGCATGTAGCAGAAATTTGGTTGGCTCATATACCTTTGATTAGTTTAAAGAGGGAGGAGCGGTACTTGCCAAATAGAGTGTTGCATCAATTTAGAGATATGCCATGTATCGATGTGGCACACATGGATTCCCATTTCAGATGGGTGGATGGCCAAGGAAAGAAAGATGTGGATTGAGTTAGTTATCATCAGAAATATATTGCTTTTAGGGATAACAAAAGAGCTATGTCGTTGAAGATCATGACAAGGAGGACACGGAGCATGCTTTAACTCGATACATGCAGTGGAACAGATCATGGGCATCACTATACTTATTTAAGGCACCATCTGATCCTTCTAGGTAAAACACCATGAAATACATTGAATGGGGTCTAAACCATTTCATTAATACTAGAGTCTAGTGGTCTAAATCATCATTTTACACAATATGATTGCCAAAAAGGTAAAAACCGCACTAGAAACATGCATATCAGAGAAAGCATGGGAAGAAAATATGCACTTATAAAACCTGAATATTCATATACTGCATTCATGAAAAAAAAAACATTCAACTCTCGTGGTGACATGTCATGAACCAAGTAAAATAGGATTGTTGGCCATAACCAGCTTAGTGAAGAAAGGCAAAGAGAAAAATATCAGTTGTGAGCAAAATAAAGCTGATGAAACTAGATATGCAATGCCAGGAAAATAATCAATTGATAAGTTTGATTTGGTTTACGAAAGAAATAGATACAAACATAAGTGATGAAAAGTTTGGTTTCCATCCAGCTTGATCATGGATGGACTATTATGGTATCTAATCCCATTAAAATTAGGGGCGTCAATAAATGATCAAACCTGAAAATCCGACACAAACCCTACCAACAAAATCCGGGTTCGGATTAACCTGTGAACCCATTTTTTACTCAAAAAAAGCCCATTTAATATATTATTTCTTTTTTTTACATGTGAGTATAATGTTATTATGTTTTATCAACCTAAATTTATAATTAATAAGTTAAAAAAATTAATTAAAATGAGTTAAAAGTTGAGTTCAAGTCATTCAGGTTGCTAGCGAGTCGGGTTCGAATTGATGTTTTTGACCCGTTTATTAAACGGGTTAATTTCGGATTGAGTAGATTGAAACTAGGTCGGACACAAACCCAATCCGTTTTGACACCCCTAATTGATGTTGAAGAAGTGTGTTGGTTTGTACAATCTAACCTGAAACATCATGTCACACATAACTATTCAAAGCTGTCCCATAAATCTATTGAAAAACCCAAAGCTTGGCTAGCAAGGTTGCAATAATTTAATTTTACTTATGATGGAACCCCTCAACTAACCCAGCTAAATTTCTTACAAAAAGCTAAATCTGCCAATAAAATATAAGCATACTTCCAAGCATTAATGAATGGCCAGGATGGAGACCAACCATGTCTAAACCCAGGCCAAGAACTGAACCAAACCCAGGCAAGCTCCAGTGAACTTGAGGTTTCAAGTCTCATTCTCATAAAGCCGATTTGCCGAATAATTGGGTCAATCAAGCCAAGTGAACCTTGCAGCTGTGCTCAGGTCATGTTATAAAAAACCTATCATGGATTATAATAGCTCATAACGTAAGAGAAACCAGAAATAAAACAGGTTTTTTCATACAAGGAAATTGTATTCATGTACACAAGGAAAAATCAAATGAATTGTCTATATGTTTGTCGAAAATGATAATAGATTAGAAAAGAGCATGTCATGCAAGTAGAGCCAACAAGGATTTGGTCAGGGTTCATCTTAATTGAAAATAAGATTTAACATAAGTTGTAACAAGGTCCTCAGGTTCCTCAAGATTACAGATATGATAACATGGGTTTTATTAGCATCAATCCTCATCTCCGTTTCTTCTAGAGTTCTCCTCATTTAATTTTTTACCTACATTCAACTTATCATGCTACGACCGTTTAATCTCCCTATGTTTTTTCAGTAAAATGTATAGGTTTTCAATAAAGTTAATATAAAAGGAGATTTAGGCCCGGTTCGAGGCTTATTTTCTCCTTCTTTGTTTTGAAACGACATTTGTCGTTGTTTGAATATGCCGCTTATGTGAAAATGTTTTTTGCAGAACTTCGTTTTTTTTTACTGTTTTGAGAAGTTTCTTGATATATGCTTCTCCGTTTGAGAACTCCATTTGCTCCATCGTTTTTAAAACTATCTTTTACAAAAGTTAAGGGATAATCAAACGAAGCCTTAATATGCTTACCGTAGAATAATTCTTTCTCTAGCACCCTGAAACCTTTGCTTTTCAATGGAAATATCACGAATTGCTGCAGCAATTTCAAGTTCAAGCGATGAAACTTTAGCCCATGCTTCTTCCCGTGCCACCTGCTAACAGAAAGGCACACAAGCTTTCTCAGGTATAGGAAGAAGATAGAAGTATAAGTAACCAAATGTATCTGATAGGCAAAACCAAAACCTTCTAAAATTAATCAAAATAAAATTTTTATGCAAATCATTATAGAGTTTCTATAAGAGACTCTTCAGAAAGTGGAATGGATCTCTATTTGCATTGAAATTTGTGGATTTGCAACAACACGAATCTGCAAAATTGTAACTTATTTCTGGAACAAAAATTTTTAATACCATTTGGCTTTCTCATGTTGAGATTTGTGCATTAATTTAGAAGAACAAGTTCTCTATTTAAGATAGGGATATATTCCTAGATCAATATTTTTTTATATCTGAGAATCAAACTAAATCTTTTGTAGATATTTGCAAAAAAATATTAAAACAAAAAAGTTCACATATCATTCCATAAAGTTCCTCAGGAATATATAAAAATGAATTCTCTAAGGGAACTCTGTCCCATGTCTCATAAGTATAAAAGCACATACAATTTAATATGACCTAATCAAATAAAGTGACAAACTTATACAAATGTAATGCCCAATAACTTTAACAAAAGAGAAATTAACAGAAAATTAAATAGCCTCACTAAGCCATAATTCTAATCGCATAGAATCATCTCAATCAAAGTTGTGATAGTCCAGAGTCAATCTGCAGGTATAGTTGATTTGCATCAACTACCTTTCGGTAACAAGAACTTTCCTTTGATAATGAAAGTAATGGAAATTATAAAGAAGATCAAGAGCCAGACACTAAGAGAGAATAAAAACTCCATCAAAAGAAATGTCAACATGAAGCAAAAGAGGCTCACAAGTGCCTTGATATGAAATAACAAATCTTCAATATTAAAAATAAGATTTATATTTATGTCATGTAACAAGTCAATAATGTATGCATTGAGTGTAAATTTTACAGTATAAAGTAAAACGGTCCTCGCTTGGAGCTTTTTTTATGTGTTAGATGGAGAACGCATAGGTCATGTACAAAAAAAGACAATTATCTTTCAATTCCTGTTACTAATGAGAATTATGGCTTGACCTTGTTCATTCTATTCACTAATTTATTTTTTAGCAACAGCATGTAACTTATAAAGTGATCCACAAAAGATGAATCAATATCTAAAAATGAATGTGGAGTAACACATTACAGGCATCCTGGGTGAAACACCATGAAATACATTGAAGGGGGGCATACCTATCATTTTATTCACAACTATTATATGAGCATTCTACCATCAGTAAGTGTAGATTCCAATTTCCCAAGCTATATCAAACAAGACACCTAAGGAGATTGCACAAGCTCCCATTCAGTTTCTTAGTCTAATCATTTTTAAGGGTAAAAGGAGATGAAAATATTAGATCAGTGCCTAGAAGTTTCTAAGATATTTCCCATAGTGAATCTAACATCAATCTGAAAACATGGAAAGAGGTAGTCCACAAAGATGAACTACTTCCAAAAGAACAATCTAGCTGCACGTCTAAAGCATCGATAGTATTGGAGCATTGGAAAAATGGGTCATCTTCAAAAGTCTATCTAGCATCATGAAGAGCAAATAATAACCATATACAGTCCTAAATAAACATAGTATAAAGTTCATACTTATATCCTACTAGGGTGCCTAAGGAAAAGTTAAAATGTATATAATTCAATACTTTGCATCATAATTTTGTCTTGATGACACAATCTACATTGGCTAGGTCCTCCACCATCATCATGCTTATGAGCATCAATAGATTCTTATGGGGACATCAGATTGTGGAGAGTCTATCAGAGACGTGGTCGTCGATCTACGGCCACGATTGAGTCATTGTATTTCTGAGTTGTTTTATGTATTTTCTTATTTATGATGTCATTTGTATTTGCTTTATTAGTTTGCTTTATTAGTTTCCCGTTGTACCCTTTTATTAAGGGAGTTCGTATGTAAGCCCTAGGGGCATTGTCGTCCTTTTATTTTTGTAAATCTTTGTACGAGGCTATTTATAGCCCTAGTGTTTTTCATTTGAGGTTAATGAATGATTGTTCGAAAATTGTGCTTCTCTTTGCTTGAACTCTCATGAGAGCTTGAGATATTGGAGTGAGATCCCTACGAGAGGGAGAATTGTGCATCACCCACAAACCTAGACGAGTCGGGTTCGTGATTCTACCTTCTCTCTTTCTTCCCTCCTTCCCCTACCACCACCGGCCTTACCTCCCCTCCATCGCCTTTGTCCAAACTTTCTTCATCACCCAACACCCCTTCTTCCCACCCACTGAATTCCCCAACCCACCTCCACCTAGCCGCCGGCTCCCTTACCCGAACCCCAAGAAAGCCGCTGGCCCCTAGCCCCTTGCCCTCTCTTGGATTTACTCCCTATTTTGGATTGCCATAATTTGGGTAGATTTTGAATTCAAATTCACCCAATTTGAAATTTAAAATATTTCATAAATTATAAAATCTATTTTAGGAAAATTTCTAAATCCCTCCCCATTGGATTTTAAATTAATTTGGAATGAATTATTTCATTCCAAATCTAATTAAGGAAACATTAAAGCCTCCTTAATTCCCCCCCCCTCCCCTTAAAGCTGCCAGCCCCCTCTCTCTACCACCCCCTCTCTCTTCTCTCCAATCCCCTCTTAATTTCTATTTCCTATTCGAGGTTGAAATATTTAGAATAGATTTTGAATTCAAATTCACCTAATTTGAAGTTCAAATCATTCCTAAAATCCTTGAATCTATTTAAGGAAAGTTTCCAAATTAGACCCTATTTGAATTTTGAACTAAATGGGATCTAATTAAATCTTTCCTAATCTCTAAATCTAAATTAGAAACCCAAATCTCTTTCCCCCAATTCCCCCATCCCATTAAAGCCGCCGGCCCCCCTCTCTACCCACCCCCTCTCTCTCTCTCTCCAATCCCCTCTCTCTACATTAACACCTCTTTCCCCTCTAGGAATTAAATTCGACTTGACTCCTAATTTCCTCCCAATTAGAAATCTGAAATTTATTTCATATTTTTAATTTGATTCCTTCCCTCTTAACCTACTTCTCCTCTCTCAAACCTCCTCCCTTGGCCGGCTATACTCCCTCATCTCCGCTTCAAGTTTGAGCTTCTTTCTCTCAAACGGAGTTTCAAGATTGTGTTAGGCCAGCCCAAGAGGGGTCGGTTGCTCCTATTGAACCGGTGGACCGGTTTACTACTACAGCCGCCAGCCTAGGAAGGGGAGAGAGAAGGGGCCGACGTCTCCTATGGGGCCCACACCTCAATTAAACATTGTTTTAATTATTGCTTTGGGAAGGACTTAATTAAATATTGCTTTAATTATTGCTTTGGGAGAGAAAAACTCAATTAAATAATGTTTTGGGAGGGAACAACTCAATTAAATATTATTTTGAGAGGGAACAACTCAATTAATATTGCTTTGGGAGGGAACAACTCAATTAAATAATACTTTGGGAGGGAATAATTCAATTAAATATTATTTTGGGAGGGAACAACTCAATTAATATTTCTTTGGGAGGGAACGACTCAATTAAATATTGTTTTGGGAGGGAAAATTTGAATTAGGGGTTGTGTAGGGATTTTGTAATATTCTTTGCTGTAAATAGTATCTCTTGTAAGGGTTAGAGTTTCATCTTGAATTTGGCTGAAATTTAAGATCTCTTAGATTTTAGGTTTTCCTTTGAGCTCTAGCTGTGTCTAGAGATTTGGGAGAGAAAGATCCTCCTCTCGAATAGAGGATCAATTGTATCTTTGTATTTTCCATTTCCATTTCGCCAAATATTACAAATTAACTATTTTCCTGTTTTTGTGTGTATTTTTGTGAAGAATTCTCGTTGTTTTTCGAAGATTAATAGGAAATACTTGAGATCATCAAGTGTTTCCTATCAGATTGCTAGTGATCTTCGGAGGCGACCGCCATCTAGCATTCATGAATGGCCGATCCAGATCTTGATTACGGCCTCTCCTACGACCAACACGGATTTGTTTGCATCTTGCATTCGACCTTCTTCGACGTCAATCTGCGCATCGATCACACCGTAGAAGAGTATGTATAGCACATCTTGGACACCTTGGTTGAGACTATTGAAGAGCAACTTGGTACCGTCCAGTGGAGGATTACAACCGATCCTTGACGAAGGTATTCTATTCTTCCTCTTCTTGTATTTCTTAAAGTCTAACCCTCTTCCTTGTGGTTTGATTTTAGTCATGAAGATCATGTTCTCTTAACTCTGCCGAGCATTAGTAAACGTAGGGATTGAGTGCACTTAATTTGTTTCTAATCTTATTGTTAGATTAGGGATTTTCGTTGAAAACTATTATATTTGCATGTTGTTGATTTTCTATGTTATTTTGATGATTCAAAGCTCTTATTGTGCAACTTAGCCTAAACAAAAGTGACCATTCCATTTTACTTTATCGTTTTATTTACTAGTAGTTCTAATCTTTATTATTCTAATCAATATATCGTATAAGTTCTTTTCAAATTATTGCATGCATTGTAGTCCTACATCAGATTCTTTTAAAGATTGATTATGTTACCATGTCCAGCATGGTTAGATATTCCACAAGCGTGCCATTACCAAACCAAGAAATCAACATTACGGACTAGGCAATGCATAATTGAACACCTTTTGAAATAAACCCATTCCATAAATAGAATGGATAGGATGAATATTGAATCACACCCTTAATGTCATTGTAAAGAATCTAAAAGTTTGGGCATCAAAATAGGTCTCTTTTAGTTGCTTGAAACTAGTCCACTAGTATGTATTATGTTAAACAATAGACATATGCGAGTAATGACATCAATCAGATGCAACTAAGAACATTTGTAGGTTTGTTGCCTCTTCTAACTTCATGTTTCTAGACAAAGTATATTCTGATAAATATTTCAACCCATTTAGCAATTATAAGAACTGATCTTCATTTGCACGTTTGCATATTGATAAATTATGGGACTAATATATAATACCCAAGTATTCGAATTAAATGTAAGTATAAA